TCTACTTTTACAAAGGGAAATATATAAAAATATAATTTGTCAAAAATCAAAACAAAGTGAACTTTCTTATGTGCTCTTGGTTGACAAGAAAGAAAATATGAATATTCAAGTTTCCAAGATCTCATAACATAAACGCAGAATAGGAGTCCTTTTTCTATCATATGTAAAAAAAATCAACCCACAAATTACAGATTAATCAAGATTTCTAAGCATACTTAATGAACTTACAGTTCACAAGTATAATACATTGTGGTGTCCTGTGGAAGACCATCACACAACACACACACACACACACACACACACACACACACACACACACACACACACACACACACACACATATATATATATATATATATATATCACCATAAATTATATGTCAACCTTTCTTACAATAAGAAAAAATTATAAATTATTTTGTGGGGAAAATCCATTGGTTGTAGTACATGTAAAAATACCAAGTTTATAAGGCTACAACTGTCAAGAGGGATCTCTAGTGGATTTTTTATGGAAAGTGGACACCATAGGTTCTAAAATTAAAGCAAGTGTTCATGCAGCATAGTTTAATACTTCCTAACTCCTGAAGCAACCCAGACTGGTCCTTGGAGTCCCTGTTGGTCCTCTGCTCCCCCTGTTGGTCGTGACTATCCCTGCAGTGAGGATTTTGTTCAGGCTGATACTGGATTTCTCTCACTGTGTTTCTGACACAATAATACAGGGCAGTGTCCTCAGTCTGCAGATTGTTCAGTTTTAGGACAACTTGACTCTTGGAGGTATCTCTGGTGATGCTGATTTGGGATTGGAGAGCAGAATTATACCCAGTGTTTCCATTCCCCCCATCCACTCCAGACCCTTTCCTGGAGCCTGGCGGAACCAGTGTACTCCATAGCCAGTCAATAAGAACCCGGTGACAGTGCAGGTGAGAGACAGGGTCTCTGAGGACTGCACCAGGCCTGGTCCTGACTCCTCTAACTTCGACTGGGACAGGACACCTGGGGACAAACAACATCACCATCAGTCATACATCCCACAATGACATGCCTGGGTCCCTCTCCTGAAACCCTGGACACTTACAGCTTGGAAAGTTCGCCAGGCAGAAAAGCAGCACCAGGACAGCCATGCTCTGCTGGAGGCTCCAGTGAGAAGGAGATGGGGCTGCTCAGCTAGGCCTGGGCTTTCAACTTGAGCCCAAGGTTGCTTTGCATTGAGGGAGGACCCTGAGAGGACAAAAGGAGGCACAGGGCAAGGTTTCCACTCTTCCCTCAGGTGAATGATGTTTGCCTTGTGCTTCTTATAGCAGCTAGTGTCAAAATAATCAGGAACATTTCCTGATTCTTTCTGATTTCCAGTTTCATGTAATGAGGAAATTTTATGGTCCACCATCTGCTGGCATTGGATGCCAAACATTAAATTAGTCCACATTCATAAGAGAATGCCCCATCTTCAATGCAATGAATGTCACTGTGAATTCCAGCAGAGTCTTTAGAAGGATTTTGGTCATATGAATTTAGTCATCCATCTGGACTGCTATATGTGAAATACAGATACTGGAACTACTTAGTCTTTTCTCTTTGTGTCAGTGGAGTTAATCACTTCCATATCCCTCACTAGAATCCAACTTGTGAGAAAGCAACTCACAAGCATTTAGTGCATGTGATTTTTAATGTTTTTCTGAGAGGAGACCTAAGGGACTGACTTTGTTGCCTTGTCAGTGGTCTTGGAATCACCTGCCCAGTAAGATACATCATGCCTGGAGATCAGTCATACTACCTCCTGTTTGTCTGTCTCTGTGTACTTTTATATTTCTCTCTTAGTCTGATTACTGCTTTAAGACCACTACAAAACCATGTTAACCATGGTCCTTAATATGACCAATGCATTGGCAAAGTATCGGAAGGTCTGCTCTTCACAATGAACACACCATGAAAAGAAATAGCATGCTACCAGGCTTGAAGGTTATGTTAAGTGAAGTAATGAAAAGACACAGTACCCATTGTGTAAATGTACCGTATTTCCTCTATCCATTCTTCAGGTGAGGGGCATCTAGGTTGCTTCCAGGTTCTGGCAATTACAAATAATGCTGGATGAACATAGTTGAACATATGTCCATGTTGTATGAATGTGCATTCTTTGGATATGTGCCCTAGAGAGGAATTGCTGGATCTTGATATACACTGATTCCTATTTTCCTGAGAAATCACCATACTGATTTCCTAAGTGGTCTTACCAGTTTGCACACCCACCAGCAATGGAGGAGTGTTCCTTTATCTCCACATCCTATCCACCATAGATCGACATTGGGGTTTTTAATTTTAGCCATTCTGGCCGGTGTAAGATGGGATCTCAGAGTTGTTTTGCTTTATATTTCCATGATGGATGATGACTTTGAACACTTTCTTAAGTGTTTTTCAGCCATTTTACATTCCTCTCTTGAGAATTCTTTTTTTGGCTCTGCACCGCCAGTTTAATTTCATTGTTGTTTTTGAGACGAGTTTTTGTGTTCTTTGTATATTTTGGATATCAGCCCCATGTCAGATATAGAGTTTATGAAGATCAGCAGAAAAAATTAATGGAATTAATGGAAAATTAATGGAATCTTGAAATTAATGGAACTAGACAAAACCATCCTGAGTGAGGTAACCCAGTCACAAAAAGACAAACATGGTATGTACTCGCTCATATATGATTTTTAGCCATGGAGCAAAGGATTGCCAGCCTGCAATCTTCCTCACCAAAGGAACTGGGAAACAAGAAGGACTCTAAGAGAAGAATTCATGGACCCCTGAGAATGGGAAGGGGCCGGAACTGGTGAGATAATTGGGAGTATGAATGTAGGGGAGAAGGAGCTGGGAGAAGGAGAGGGGGAGAAGAGGTGGGGAGAGGAGGAAATGGAGGAGCAAGAAGATTGAGTCAGGGAAGAATGGAGGAGAGCAGGATGAGAGATACCATATCATAGGGAGCCACTATAGGTTCGAGGAGAGATCTGGCACTAGGGAGATTTCCAGAGATCTACAAGGATGACAACAAATGACAATCTAGGCAATGGTGGAGAGGCTCCCCTAAATGCTCTTCCCCTATAATGAGCCTGATGACTTCTTTACATGCCATCCTAGCTCCCTCATTTAACGCATGATGGAAGCAGAAGCAGACAGCCACAGCTAAACACTGAACTGAACTCTGGAACCCAGTTGCAGAGAGGGAGGAGGGAAGAGCAAAGAGGTTGAGACCAAGCAGGTGAAACCCACAGAAACTTCTGACCTGAACAAGAGGGAATTCATGGACCATAGACTGACGTCTGGGAGGCCAGCACATGACTTATCCAGACCCCTGAACGAGGATGTCAATAAGGAGGTCTACTTACTCTATGGAGGCCCTGATAGTGGATCAGTATTTATCCCATGGCATAAGAGGAGCCCATCCCATTTGGAGGGATGCATTCAGCCTGCACACATGGGGGAGGGCCTAGGCCCTGCCCAGGATGATATGACAGACTTTGGCAAACCTCCATGAAGGGCCTTCCCTCCCTTAGGAGCAGTGGAGGTATAAGGAGGAAAGCTGGCAGAGGGTTAGGGGGAAGGGTGGTAGAGGGAGAATAGATTGACATGTGAACCTGGCATGTTTCTAATTTGAACTAATTAAAAATACCTCCTTGGGGAAAATACAGATTAGTCTTTGGATTACATTTGTAAAAAAAAAGAGAGAACCCTAAGATATGACAGGAAATAGAGAGAGAGAGCATGCTTGAACAAGGAGAATTGGTTGCTTTATGTGAGGATCAGCACAGAGAACAAGGAATTGTGGGCTTTTCTTCATGCCTCTGTACTGTACATGATCAGGAAATTGAAAAGAATAGTTCAAAACAACCTGTTCAGTAGCTCCCAGAGAACATCCACCGAGTCTTTCTCAGTTGACAGCCCATACAGTGCATCCCTTACTCCTGTGTGCACACTCTGTGCTGTGAGTGGCAGCCGTGGAGACAGGTCTGAACACTGGGGAGCTGCCTCCTGTGTAGGTTCTGATGGGCACCCTCCACCATGTGTGCTGTGTCCTGCTTGTCCACGTTGTCCTGTTGTTGAGAATATTTTTCACACCTTATGTTAAATGAGTCTCATCTTGGGGTTGTCTGATTTTTCATTGTTCTTATAGGATCTTGCAAAATCACAAGAATGATTGCGGTTTTTTCTAACATTTTGGAGAAGTGGTATGAGACTCCCTTACTCAAGAATTTTTGTCTTTAATGATGTAAGTAATAGTTAGGGTTGACATTTTGTGATTCGTTGTGAGATTTCCTTCTCTATGAGAAGGCAGTCACTAAGAATATTCACACTCAAAGGGAATGCATTCTGTGTGAAGCTGCCCATTACTCACAATGATCTTCTGTTTCAGAGGTAAATTCTTATATTTGCCTGTCTTCAGTCATGTGTTAACTTCTCTCTAGTGGACTCATGGACACTCTGCTAATGATCATGATACAGTGACTGTACAAGACTGTTCGTGTGGTGGTTTGAATTTTGTCAATGCAGTCAAAGCTATGATTTCTGGGAAATGAATGCCTCAGTTAAAAAAATCCACAACCAGTAGGCCTGTAGGTTATCCCCTGTAGGCATGTTAGCAAAATTGTAATGTCACAATTTCCTTTGTATTCTTGAGGAAATAAGTGGAGAATATTTCCCTTGAAACAGCGAAGGGGAATTTATTGCAGTAGACGCTTTATGAAGATTTAGGTAGAATAAGGCTGATCCTAGGAATCCATGATTCAGTCACACCTGCTACCCTCCCTCCTCAGCTTCTCTCTTCTGATGACCCTTTCTATCCCTCCTTCTCTCATGTCTTTCTATCCTTTCTCTCCTCCCCTCTTCCCTGTCTCCATGCCAACCGTCCCGTTTCCTTACTCACTGTCTCCCCCGTCGCCTTCTCACTCTCCTACATCCTCAACTGTGATATTGAGGGGCAGTCAGGACACAGAACTGCCCAGCCCCGTTTGCCTCAGTAGCATTCACTCACTGTGTCTCTTCCACAGCAATACATGGCTTGTCCTCAAACTTGAGGTCGTTCATTTGCAGATTCATGGAGTTCTTGGAATTGTCTCTGGAGATGGTGAATCTGCCCTTAACAGCGTTAGCATAGTAAATGTAACTACTGTCAGCATTAATATATGCGACCCACTCCAGCCCCTTCCCTGGAGCCTGGCGGACCCAGTTCATGGCATAGCTACTGAAGGTGAATCCAGAGGCCGCACAGGAGAGTTTCTGGGTCTTCCCATGCTGCACTAACCCTCCTCCAGACTCCACCAGCTGCACCTCACACTGCATACCTGCAAACACAATAAATTCTGGTCAGAAAACTGACACAGAAGCTATTTTTACTTTCCTATGTCTACAAAACCCATAGTATCTCCTATCCACTAATTACCTTTTATAGTAAAAACAAGGAAAAACCAAATAAACCCCAAGTCCATGGTGTGTGGCCTGTGTTCAGTGCTGATCACAGAATGGGATGACCTGGGAATCCTGGACTCGGCTCCTCTGCCAGACTTCAGGGTCAGGGCAGGGCTGGTTTTCATGGGCACAGAGAAGCCTCATTTGCATGTCTTCCTGCTATTGCAGGCTCTGCAGTTGGGCAGTTCTCAGAGCAGATGTAAGACATCAAAGACAATGATGTCAGTTACAGGAAGTGACAGTGTGGCAGTTCCAGATGCAGCTTTCCCTTGTTAAGGGTTCACCATGTTCCACTTAGTTCTCTCTGTGTCTGTGAACAGAGCATGCTGTGTGCATATACAGGCACGTCTCCTCAGTGTGAACGTGAAATGCAATGGCTCCACACACAGTTTTCTTTCTACACAATACCGCCATCTGTCCCACATTCTGGGGTGGATCTGGCTCTTCCCTGATGAGGTTCTTGTGCAGGGTCAGACCTTCCTACGGCGGTTGTCATAATTCCTTCTCTATGATAAGAACATGGGGTTTCTTATTTCCTTCTGTGTCATGAAACTCGGGTTATCATATTTCCTTCTCTGTGGCGAGAACACCGGAGTGGGAGTGTTTCTACAAATTTATTCATTGCTGAGAGCATTGTTCTCAGGGGCATTTGGAGGTTGCAAATGTGAGATCCCCTGTCACCGTCTGTCTGCTACTCAGTGTTTGCTCTGTAGTCAAATTCCTATTTGCAACAAATTCACTTTTTTGCCTCCTGACTTTCTGCCTTAGATTCCTTATAATTCCTTCCACTGCCCTCTTCATCTTTACACCAGGCAACAAATAAATAACTGTTTTTATGCACTGTTAGATTGTTTTCATATCCCCAATTTATACAATTAGTATATCCAAGGCTTTTCATTAATTTTTAGCATGCCTACAACTTTATATTATATCATTAAATGAAGTGCAGATGTACAACAACTTAAACAAGAACAGAAATATATATATATATATATCATATCACAAATATTCTTATATTTGTATTAGTATACAAATATCCATATCAAAGTAAAATATTTGACACTAGAAGTTTTATTTTAGTTCAAAAGTTGACTCAACAATCCACCCTTCAATCCAACCATTTCTTTATTATATTCTCTATTTTCCCTTCATAATGAGACCCCTTCAATTTAATCTTCTTTGTTCAGCTTTTTTCCAGTCAATGAGCAATAACAACTTGTAACCAACCCTACTAAATGATGACTGACACCCATAACTCAATGAATGACCAAAAAATTCCCACGTCACTTCTTAAGAATGTGGGTGTTGTGTTCACTAGATGGCCTCCTGTTGTCTCTGAGCACAGGCATCCCCTACAGGATGCTGAGAAACCTGGGATGATGGTCAAGTCATGGAAGAGCTGGCTGTATCATTTTTGTTTATTCTCTTGTGATGGGTCTGTGTAGAGCTCATCTCAATTTTGGCTGGAGAGTCTGTGAGGCTGGGCCATCTCAGATAGCAACTCTGAAGCTGTTCTGCATGCAAAATTTTGAGGAAACTGTAAAAATATCTCTCTGAGAGGCTGGACCATCTGAGATTCTCTTTATTGGTGTCTGGTACTTTTTTTATGAAAACACAGAAACTTTTAAAGGTAGCATATATATCTGCTTTGACACAAGTATAGAATGTGCAGTTTGTACAAGTCTGCTAAAGGTGAATTTTGTTCTATGTTTGAGCAGGTAAAAGGCACCTGCTGAATTTATAAGTCCATTGGGCTGTATAACCAAACCTCTATCCATGCTGCATGATAGGATGGAAAATAAAAAATATGTTATGAGGACTCTGTACCCAAAAAGATATATCAGGCCTCATCCATTCTCAGAGCTGTTTCTAGGTAGAAGGATGAGCATGCATGTCACCCATCTTGTAGTTTTCTATTTGTTTTATTATTGCTTGTAACCAATATTTTCAGGTGGTCACCCCAATCAATTCTGATCTTCATTAATTATCAAGAAAATCATAACTTTAAAAAATTTTAATTTAAATTCTTTAATTACTACTCATATTTACATATCCATCACCTATTCCCTCACCCTCCCATGCTCCCATGGTCCCCATGAGCCCCCCAATCCATCTCCCAACTCCTCCACGGGGATACTGAGGCCCTCCACAGGGGACCTTCAAAGTCTGTCATATCTATTAGGGCAGGTCCTAGGCCCTCTTTGCTGTATCTGGGCTGCATTAGTATCCCTCCACAGGGAATGGGCTCCAATGTCCATTTATGCTCTAGGTATAAAGAATGGCTCCATTGTTAGAGGACCCATAGACTGTCTTGTCCTCCTGTAGGGAATCATTGTAGCCCCGCCTCCTAGTATCTCCTACAGGTGTGCCTAGCCACGCCCGTGAGGTCGTGCTCAGGGGAGGGCCAAGATGACTCAGAGAGAATTCTTAAGAGGCCACGAACACATGGAGCTTCTCTCTCTCTCTCTCTCTCTCTCTCTCTCTCTCTCTCCCTCTCTCTACTCTAGCTTGCAGCCTCTGGGCATGCTCTGGCTTGCTTTGGGCTGTTGTTTATCTGAATAAAGAAATCTTAGCATTACGGCCTATGGATCATCATTGAGGGCACTCAATAGCCTCCTAGCTGGAACCCACTTTCAGAAGGTTTGGTTCAGTCAATGGTGTTTCCCCAGCTTTATGACATTATACTTGATGTTATTTGAAAACATTTTCCAGTCTGTTATGTACTCTTTTTAAAATGACAATACCATGCGTGATTGTACTGCACTATGACTCATTCATTCATCCAGCTACACTCTCTCTTCTTCCTGTCATCCTGAAGACCCTTCTGTCCCTTCCACTCTCATGCCACTTTCACCTGTTCTTTCCTCCACCCCTGCTTTCCTGACTTCCTCTCTGCTTCCCTTGTCTGCTCACACACAATTATATGGCTGGACACACAGTCTTTTCTGTGTTCTTCTTGAGCAACCTCCACAGTATCTGCCAGTGTCATGACCGAACTGTGTTCCGATAAACATAGCAAGAGGATGCTTCCACTCCAGCCACACACACTCTTTTTCCAGTCTTTCTTTGGTAAAGGGCACTCACACCATTGGTTACAGCCAACTTAGCATTTTGGCTTAAATATCTACTTTTCTGGCGATTAGAGAAAGTTGACTTATGCAACCTCTGCCTCTCACATGCTTTGGACAAAATGAAGGATCCCAGTCAGAGGATGGAGGGCAGGGAGTTGTCTGTTCATGAAGATATTATCTCACACCTCTGTGTTCCTGAGCTCTCTGTTAACCTGCAGACTCAAATCTCAGGTAAGAATGGGGAACGAGTTGTTCTTGAGAAGAAAAAATGAGACTGATATTTTGAATGGGTAAATACAACCATACCCCATATCAGGGAGTAGTGATGTTTAAACACAATATATGTTAATCAAAGTGTGGAATTCACATTTGAAGTATTATGATTTGAATCAAGGTATCACATTACTCCCAGCACTGGATGAATTTTAATTAATGCTTATGTTGTGTATATGTTTCTGTGTGGGTGGCGTAGTGCTCATGGACACAAACAGTTGACACAGCCTTCTCTATACTCACATTGGTTCTTCAGATGCTGTGAGTCTAGTGTTTCCAGTGTCTGGGTTATTTTGCTTCTTCCATTCCGATGCTGGTCACCACACAGAATCCCTTCTGCCCTGTGTGATGATCTGCAGTTTGTTCAGGTCATATCACCTTCTGCATTTAAAACAGCAACTTTACCAGGACTATAAAATTAGCTCTGCAATTCAAGTTCTTGCTACACATGACTGATTGAGTGGGATATAAACTCATAACTTTGATCTTCATGAGTGAAAAAAGCTGGGTTTGACAGCCAGCAAATTATCCCATCTTAGTGATATGGGAACACCATAATTACTTGGACTCACTGGCCAACTAGTCTAGCCAGGTGGTCAATTTCAAGCACAGTTATAGAACTGTCTCGAAAATATGTTGCAGATTGATAGAGAAGATCATATGTCAACACACACACACACACACACACACACACACACACACACACACACACACACACACACACACACACACACACACACACACACACACACACACACAGGCACACACACAGAAACACATATACACACTTATGTATGTACATGGAGAGACCCAAGGAGAGAGAATGTCAAGGAGAGAAGCAGTTGGGGGGGGGAGAGAGGAAGAAAGAGGGAGAGACTGGAAGGGAGGAGACAAAGGCATAAAGCAGAGAGATGAATGGAGATATAATATAATGAATAAATAAAAAACAATTATCACGATGACACCATCTGACAATCCAGGCAATGGTGGAGAGGATAACCCAAAAGCCCTTCCCCTAAAATGAGATTGATGACTTTTCTTTATGCCATCCTAGAGCCCTCATCCAGTGGCTGATGGAAGCAGAGACAGACATCCACAGATATACACTGAGCCGAAGTTGCAGAGAGGGAGGAATGAAGAACGAAGGGGTCTGTATCAGGTTGGAGAAACTCACAGGAACAGTTGACCTGAACAAGGGAGAGCACATCGACCCCAGATGCTGTCAGGGAGGCCAGTACAAGACTGACCCAGACCCCTGAACATGGATGTCAATAAGGAGGCCTCTGCATTCCAGGGGGGGCTGGGGGTGGGACAGGAGGATTGGAGGTGAGGGGAGGAAGAGGGAGAAGGGACTTGAAATAAGCTTGCTCCCTAACTAGAACTAATAAAATAAAAAAAAAATTTGTTTGTTTCACAGGAAAGGAAACACAATTTAGTTGTATGTTCAGACTGCTGTTTTCTGCTCCTCTACCTTCCAAGCAGTATTTTCTTGAATAGATATTTAAAAAGACACTGATCCAAAATAAATGTTACTCTTTTATCCAAAAAAACCAATTATGACAATGGAAAATAGGTATTTCAATAGAAATTTGGACCCTTCATGGAATACTACACACCACACCTATAGAGAGAATCCCTGCATGTGATATGGAGAAGCAGCCCAGACACAGAGGATT